TGAAATTCACAGGTCTTACTGTGTTCTCCATCAGCCTGAAGCAGCTGGTTTTACAGAAGCAGTATGGCCTTTTGAGCATGCGGTTACAGTGTCAGCCAGGTTATTAATAATAACTTGTGGGTGTTTATACAACTTTCTCCAGAAGTTGCAAATGCTCTGAATCAGCATCCATCATACGGTGCTGTTTATCCCATAGCCAAGATCTGTGTGTCCAGAAATAACCAAAGAGAAATGGGAGTCACAAGATTCACTATTACCTATGGAGTTCCAGTTGCAAAATCTTTCTGTGCCCACAACCTTGTGTCCTGAGAGTCTGGAGGTTTTCCAAAGGGTAGAATGCCTTCTCAGGAAACACAGAAATGATTCCCCTGAGCTGGAAACTAAGACAGCCACCCAGCCCCTTCAGCTCCTCATGATTCTGAATCAACAGACAAAGGAAGGGGTTACTGCACTGTCTGGGGTGATTGGTCCTGGTCATCAGGGGGAAATTGGTCTGCTACTATGCACTGGTAACAAATAAGGCAGTTTGGAACACAGGAGAGGTGTTAGAGCATGTCTTAGTCATACTCTGTCTTATAATTAAGTCAAAAACTATAACAGCCCAAGGAAGGCAGGACTACTAATGACCCATACCCTTCAGGAATGAATGTTTGAGTCACCCAAGCAGGAAAAGAAACCTGATTAGCTGAGGGACTTGCTGAAAGTAATGGAAATATAGTATGGTTAGTGAAAAAAGCTATTTATAATTACTAGTTGTGGCCAGCATGGTGGCACATGCCTGTGATCACAGCACTTTGGAGGCTGAGGCAGGTGGGTTGCTTAAGTCTAGGAATGTGAGACCAACCTGGGCATCATGCTGAAACTCCATCTCTACTGAAATAAATACAAGAAATTAGTCAGGCTTGGTGGTGTGCTTGTAGTCCCAGCTACTTAGGAGATTGAGGTAGGAGGATCAGTTGTTCCGAGGAGGTGGAGGTTGCAGTGAGCCAAGGTAATGCCACTGCACTCCAGCCTGGGCAGCAGAACAAGACCCTGTTTCAAATAAACAAGTAACTAAATAAATAACCAGCTGTAACCATGTGACCAGTTACAGAAATAGAGACAGTAAATGTTCTATTACTTCCTTATTTTTTATAAAGATATTTATGTCTGTGTATATATATATCCATACATGTATTAAGCAAATGCCTTTGTTTTCATATCATCTTACAATAAAACATAAGATGTGTTAATAATAGTTCCCTTTTATTAATGATGGTTTAACTTTTATTAAACATGGGATTTAGGTTACAGTATATCAAAGAGAAGAGTGCATATCATGCATTCAGTTTGAATCTTTTTCTGGGGAAAGGATTAGTGTGTTTTTAGTTGGATATAAGATAGTTGTATTATCATTGGCAAAAGTATGACTTTATAATTGCTTTTATTTGGAGACTAAGTATGGTTTAAGAAAAGATTTATGGGTGCCAAGTTCACAAGCATGGGCTGGGATGGTTGGTTTTATGTGTTAATTTGACTAAACCATAGCACCTAGTTATTTAATCAAACACTAAATGTATATGTGGCTATGATGGTGTTTTGCAGCTGTGGTTAAAACCTGATATCAACTGATTTTTTTTTTCCTGATATGGAGTCATTTCCCAATTGTATGATTATAGGATTGCAGCGTTTGGCTTTCAAAAGACCATTTAAAACAGCTCAAGGAAATTTTCTAACAAACTCCACAGCAGGATCACAACTAAACCTATGAGCAGTAGTAGAGATAAACAATGACACTGCCTTTAAAATTTCATTTTGAAAAATGTGTTTTGAAAGTGGCTGATTAGCTCCTAATTTAACCACTACCATTTGAGGTCATATATTAGATTGGCAGAGTCATTAAGTCGTAATTTTTTTCTTTTTTTGAGATGGACTCTTGCTCTGTGGCCAAGCTGGAATGCAGCGGCACGATCTCAGTTCACTGCAATCTCTACCTCCCATGTTCAAGCGATTCTCCTTTCTCAGCCTCCTGAATAGCTGGGACTATAGGTGCATAACACCACACCCAGCTAATTTTTGTATTTTGAGTAGAGATGAAGTTTCACAGTGTTGGCCAGGATGGTCTCAATCTCCTGACCTGGTGATTGAGGTCAGGAGATTGACCTCAGCCTCCCAAAGTGCTGAGATTACAGGTGTGAGCCACCACGTCTGGCAAAGTCATTGTAAATTTTATGTATTTTATTTTTGCAAGGCAAGTGCTTCTCTCTGCTATCTGATAAAATAAAATGTCAAGCTAGGCATGATGAGGCATGCCTTGTAGTCCCAAGTATTCAAGAGGCTGAGGTGGGAGGATTCCTTCAGTCTGGGGTTCAAGGCTGCAGCAAGCTATGATGGTGCCACTGCACTCCAGCTGGGCAGCAGAGTGGGAATAAAATGTTCATGTAAAATCTTAGTGTTAGCAGTTCAACCTTGAACTGATTATGTGATATCTTATTTGAGAGAAGCTGTTGTGTATAATGAAGTTTGGGGAATATCAACAAGAAGTAAATGCCAATCTTGTTCCTAATTTACAAACCAAAAGGAAATTCCATAAACCTTTAATGCTAAGCTAAATCACTGTAGAATGAATGACAAAAAATTATCATACAAAATGTAACCAGTTGCTAGGTGTATCTGAATATTAATTAGAAAAATAGATGAATGAAAGACATATTCTAGGACGATAAAAACTATGAGAAGTGTAAAAGCTTATCAAGCCCTTGGCTGGAGTTACACGAAGTTGCTACTCAGCTCTAACTTGGGATTAGCATGGTGGCTACTTCTTAAAGTTGATACAAGGCTTCAATGTGTTTTAATGCATCAAAAGCACCTAGAAAAGTGCCTGAGACATCATAAGTTCCAAAGTCTCTGTAAATAAATAAAAAATATATAAAAGCAATGCTAAATTCAAGGTCCTGATCCTCTACTCAGGAGGCTAAGTGGGAGGATCCCTTAAGCCCAGGATTTCAAGGGTGCAGCAAGCTGTGACGGTGCCACTGCACTCCAGCCTGGGCAACAGTGAGGCCCCATGTCTAAAAAATTAATTAATGAATTAAGTGATGTTAACTTCAAATCTTACTGTTAGCAGTTCAACCTTGAACTGATTATTTGAGGGTTTGTTTTTTTTTTGAGACCATGTTTTGCTCTTGTTGCCCAGGCTGGAGTGGAATGACACAATCTCAGCTCCCTGCAACCTCTACCTCCTGGGTTCAAGCAATTCTCCTGCCTCAGCCTCCCGTGTAGCTGGAATGACAGGTGCTGCCACCATGCCCTGCTAGTTTTTGTATTGTTAGTAGAGACAGGGTTTCACCATGCTGGCCAGGCTGATCTTGAACTCCTGACCTCAGGTGATCTGCCTGCCTCAGCCTCCCAAAGTGCTGGGATTATAGGCCACTGTGCCTGGCCTTGAGATCTTATCCAACAGAAGCTGTTGTGTACAATAAAACTTAGGGAATATCAACAAGAAGTAAATGCCAATCTTGTTTCTAAATTACAAACTAAAAGGAAATTCTATAAACCTTTAATGCTAAGCTAAATCATGGTAGAATGAATGACCAATAATTATTCTACAAAACTTACCAGCTGCTAGGTGTATCTGAATATTAATAAGAAAAAAGATGAATGGAAGAAATGTTCTAGGAACAAGAACTATAAAAGGGCTGTAGAAACTTATCAAAGTTCTTAAAATTGAAACAAACATTAAATGTGTTTGAATGCATCAAAACCACCTAGAAGAGTGCCTGAGACGTAGGAAATGCTCAAGTTTCTGTAAATAAATAAAATACATTTAAATGTGACACTAAATTCCAAGTCCTCTGCAAATGCCCAAATGGTCTGTTCATCTTCCACTCACAATCCACAGTGAAATGTATCTGATGAATTGAATGAAATGTGTGAGGTGTTTGTCATCTTTAATGTTAACCTTGGTACATTATACAACATTCTTCTCTTGTATTGTAACCAATTTACCAAGATAACACAGGCTTAACTTGTTTTTAATTTTTTTATTTGTTTATTTATTTTTTTGAGACAGAGTCTCACTCTGCTGCCCAGGCTGGAGTGCAGTGGGCAATCTCAGCTCACTGCAACCTCTGCCTCCTGGGTTCAAATGATTCTCCTGCCTCAGCCTCCTGAGTAGTTGAGATTACAGACTTGTGCCACCACACCCAGCTAATTTTTGTATTTTTAGTAGAGACAGGGCTTCACCATGTTGGTCAGGCTAGTCTTCAACTCCTGACCTTGTGATCTGCCTGCCTTGGCCTCCCAAAGTACTGCGATTACAGACATGAGATGGACTCTTGCACTGTTGCCCAGGCTGGAGTGCAGTGGTGTTATCTCAGCTCACTGCAACCTCCACATCCTTGGTTCAAGAGATTCTCCTGTCTCTGCCTCCCAAATAACTGGGATTACAGGTGTATGCCACCAGGACCAGCTAATTTTTGTATTTTTAGTACAGACAGCGTTTTGCCATGTTGGCTGGGCTGGTCTTGAATTCCTGACCTCAGGTGATCAGCCCACCTTGACGTCTCAAAGTACTGGGATTACATGTGTGAGCAACTGAGATGGGCATTTTAATTTTTTTTCATACAGCATAGAATTACACTGCTACATTTTTAAATTTCAGATGATTTAAAAGATATTTACACTATAGTAGCCAAACAATAATAATTATAAGTAACCAACATGGTGAAACCCATCTCTACTAAAAGTACAAACATTATCAGGGTGTGGTGGCGGGCACCTGTAATCCCAGCTACTTAGGAGGCTGAGGCAGTAGAATTGCTTAAACCTGGGAGGCAGAGGTTGCAGTGACCCAAGATTGCGCCACTGCACTCCAACATAGGCAATAGAGACCCTGTCTCAAAAGAGGGAAAGAAGAAAAGAAGGAAAGAAAGAAAAGAAAAAAAAAGAGAAAGAAAGAAAGAGGAAAAAGGAAATAAAAAACTGTATCTCGGATAAATTTCTCACCTTAAAGCAAAATCTCTTATTGAAAAACACATTTATTTCACATACAAATAAGAATTCAGCATATTTTCTATACCCAGAGATAACAGAGATTAACATGTTTTTTTTTTTTTTTTTGGTGGGGGTTCAGGTATTTTATTAGCTGCTGAGTGCAAGAAAGTCTCATCACTGAAGAAGCTGAAATCCCATTTTTCCTTGAAATGGGATCGTTCCAAAATTAGTAACAATGAAGCAGTCAGTCACATGATGGATGGCTGAGCAAAAAACAGAGACAGCAGATGCTGAATTTTGTTTCTGTAATTCTGCCTTGTCCACAGGGCCCTATTTACCCTTCAATCAATTAAAATAAAAGAGATTTTAAAAGTCAGTTTCTTATTTGCACTAGCCACATTTCAAGTACTCACAATTCACAGAATATGAATGTCTGTTTCTGTGCTCTAATGAACAGCACAGACATAAACACTCCATCACTGCAGAAGGGAATTGGACAGCGGTATTCCAATATTTCATGGACAGGATCCTGAGTATAATGACAGAATAATGACAATTCCAAGTTCCCATTTCAGTTCACGGTCTCTTCTCTGATTCGTGGTGTAGCACGGAGCCCATCTCTTTTGTGAACAAAGGTTAATTTGTCCAATTATACACAAGTAGCTAACATTGCTTTTTTTTTTTTTTTTTTTTTTTTTTGCCAGTCTTACACTGTAAGTTACAACCAAAGTGAAGGGCCTGAATTATATTTTCATTTTAACAAAGGGGTTTAAAGGGGAAATCCATCTGAAAAAGGAACAAGTCAGGAAAACAAAAACAAAACAGAAGTTTCCATACCAATTCCCATAGCAATAATCCCTTTGCCGTCCTGAGAGTTCCCCCTCATCCTGATTTCATAGTAATCCTGTTTACACCTTTCAAACTTAACCCCCATGCATATGTCTGTAAAACAATATAGGTTATCTTAAACTTCATAGAGATTTTGAACTTTTTATACAAATGGAATCGTGCTATGTGTATTCTTATGAGACCTTATTTTAGCTCAAATATATGCTTGCTAAGTTGTTATAGGTGTCTCTAAAGGGTTCTTGTTTTGTTATTTGTAGAATTGCATTGAATGAATAAACCACACATGAAATTAATCCTTTTCCCTTTGTGGTCATTCTGCTTTTAGAATTTAAAAATTACAAATGATGCTGCTGTAAGCCTTCTTGCACATGTATGTTGGTGCACACGTGCACTGGCGCACAATATTGGAGCACAGATCACTCACAATAATATGCCTAGGAATGGAATTACTGGTGTATGTGTATAATATCCCACCCAAAGAGATGATGTCCTAGATTAAGTGACTGTGCCAATTTGCACTATGGCGAGCAGTGTGTGGCAGCTATTGATGGTCCATATTCTCACCAATATTTGGAATAGTCAGTGATTTTAATTTAGAAATTCTAGTGGGTTTGTCATGACATCTCATTATGTTTCTTTCATTAAACTTTAGTAAGATATAAATCACATAAAACTCACCATTTAAAGTACACAATTCAACGTTTTTTCACATATTCAGATTTTTAAATCACCATATCTAATTTTAGAGCATTCTCATCATCCCTAGATGATGACTTTAGAATATGTCTCTCTATAAAATGAAGTCAATCCATTCATTTTGACTTCATGAGTGTTTTCTCTATCATTGGCAACTTTTCCAGTTTTGGAGAAGCACCTTTCCAAGTTCCTTTAAAAATTAGACTTTTAAGCCAGGCACGGTGGCTCACGCCTGTAATCTCAGCACTTTGGGAGGCTGAAGAGGGCAGATCACCTGAGATCGGGAATTGGAGACTAGCTTGACCAATAAGAGAAACTCCATCTCTACTAAAAATACAAAAAATTAGCCGAGCATGGTGGCACATGCCTGTAATCCCAACTACTCAGGAGGCTGAGGCAGGAGAATCACTTAAAACCAGGAGGTGGAGGTTGCAGTGAGCTGAGATTGTGCCATTGTACCCTAGCCTTGGCGACAAGAGAGAAACTCTGTCTCAGGGAAAAAAAATATGTAATTTTAATTAAAATTATGTTCAGTAAAGAGATTTGGAAAACGTTGACAAATTTTGTCACATTGAGACTTATAATTCATGAATATGGAATGCTTCTTTATTAAATATCCTTAAATAAAGCATTGCTGTTTGCATTTGTGCATTTTTCAGTAAATTTATTCCAAAGATCTTGAAGTATTTTGCTAGTGTTCATAATATCTCTTTCTCTGTTGGATTTGTTTAAGTGCTAGTGGTGGTACGTATATGTTAGGTTCAAGCCCAAGCTGGGGGGCTAGGGGAGTCAGTGGACAGGTGGCAGGTAGCTGAAAGAACAGTCATGGAATTGTAGGCAGGTGGGACAGAGCTTTATTTCTCTCGGTATGGGAGCGGGAGAGCAAGCACTATGCACATCGTTAGCAAGGGAGTTATACTTTTTACAGGCAATGATGCTTCCAAGGCAAGCAGGAGCTTACCTGAGTAGTCACATTACCTGCCTTACATGGCGTCGTTACATAATGCATTGGTTTATGCGCCTGAGCTCCAGACCCACTGTGTCATGCTGCACTGGAAGGCTGCCTGGGTCCATTTCTGACTGAAGCACCGCCATCCTCCTTGCACTCCACTCCCTAGGCCGATGGCATCTTCCGGGTAGGGACACCTGCCCATAGGGTGGACTCCTGAACCTATAACCCACAACAACAATACAGAGAGCAACAACTCACTGCTAAGATTCCAGCTATGCCACTTATGACTATCAGGATCCAGCATAGGCCAGAACCTAGGGACGCCCACCACCTCTGGAGGGGGTCATCAGTAAGGCCCTTGACCACCTTTATTCCCCATGCGACCCCTTGCAGGGCTGATGTTATGTTTTGCTGATTGTCAGGGATAAATGTACAGCACTGTGTTCCTACAAAGCACAGGTGTCTCCTTGGGAGCAGGTACTATGTCTAAGGCCATCCAGTCTTATAACACAACTTTTCTAATCTGATTAACCTCATCGGTCAACAGGAGGAGGCCTGCTTGGGTGTGTAATTCAGAACCAGAGCGGTATGCTCTGCAACAGCCGTCACTTCTTCCTCTGTAGTCATAACACCTGCTCCAGGAACAGTTAATACTAAGGGATAGAACTGCCAGGCGGCTCGCTGCACTTCAAAAACTGGAAGGGTAGTGCCTCTCAGTTATGCAGGCGTCTGGGTAATGTGGGGAGGACAGTGGCAGGTCCATAAGGCCACCCTCAGGAACAATGTCCAGTCCAGTTCCCTGTAAGCTAAGGCCACCCTGTGTACCCGCAGACCCCAAAACTCCCAAAGGGTACAAAGTCCATCAGGGCCGGACCTTGATGAGGCCACTTGTTTCACCGCACCTTTGGTGTGGTGACGCGTGTTATGTTTGCACAGGTCGTGGCGGGTCCCTATCTCACATTAGGGTTAATGTGTTCTATGGAGCGCAGCACCCAGGCTAGGGGTACATGTTCCCCCACTAGCCAGCCCCATCTGTCATAAGCACTATGAGCCAGCCAGGGGGCGGGCGGGCCTTGGGTCTTGCAGCGCCGTTTTCCCAAAGCTTGCCATGTTGCATTTCAGGCACCACCACCAGGGCCAGCCTGTGAGTGACGTCAGGCTTCAGGCACAGTCTTACCCCCCACCACACACTGACCAGCCACGACAAGGTCTCCTTAGCGTGGAGGGGGCGGGGCCTCATCTGACCCCTCACGGGTGGGGAAGCACTAGGAACATTTTGCTCCATGTTTCTCCTTCAGTCTAGATAATGACTGACTTCTGCTGGGACCAATCACAGAGGGAGGGAGGGAGGAGTTGGGGTGGGCGGGCTGAGACAGGAGGGGCGGGGCGACTTCCCTCCCATCCCGGGCCCTTCCTGGAGCTGACACCTGGACAGGTCCAGGGCCTGCACCTGCAGCTGCGCAGTGGCCCTGGACGGAGATTCCTCGGGGGACACTTTCAATTCGCCTACCATAGGGGAGATTTCAGGTCCCGAACCAGGACCTGCAGACCTGGACAGCGGCACAAACCGCAGCTCAGAGGAGAGGTTCTGGATTGCGGAGGCCACTAGGGAACCCCTAATGGGTCACTGCACTAGGTGGCCGCTCAGAAGCCTGAGCTTCGCAAGGAGACGCTGCCGCGGGCAGGTACTGGGGTCCTCAGGGCCTCACGCACCTCAGGACCTCCTGGAGCTGGAATTGTGTTCCCTCGAGGTGTCCCTATGGGAAGGAAGAGGGGTCAAACCCAGCACCATCCTCCTCCTCTTTCACCTTCTCCTCCTCCTCCTCCTCCTCCTTCTCTTCTCCCCTCCCCTCCCTTCTTCTTTCTTCCTTTCTTCTTTTCTTTATTCCATCTTCTTTCTTCTTGTGATTGAGGATTCTGTCCAGGCTCCTGAGGCTCTCCTGAGGGCAAGTGGGGAGGGTGGACAGAGCGAAGGAGGGCAGGGAGGTAAATGGGAAAGAACAGCAGTTACCCTTGTCAACAGTGATGCCCTTGGGTCCATCTTCACCGAGGGCTCTTATATGTAATCAGAAGATGAAACACCGGGAAACAGAAGCAGCGGAGACACAGTGAAGGAAAGCAGTCCAACAAACAACTTCTGGTTCAATATCGGACTATAACAGATAGTATCTGAAGAATGTAAAATGTGAGTGCAAATTAGAAAAGAAACAAAAATTTTAAAACTAAAATATAATATCCCCATTAGAAGCAAAAGAGTGGCTTTGTAGACAATGACACACAGTTGTAGAAAGAGCATTAGAGATAGATTAGGAAAATTGCTTATCCAGAACCTATTTTTAACTTTGAAAATTGTTGGCCAGGCGTTGTGGCTCATGCCTGTAATCTGGCACTTTGGGAGACCGCGGCAGCCAGATTACCTGAGGTCAGGAGTTGGAGACCAGCCTGGCTGACATGCTGAAACCCTGCTTCTATTACAAATACAAAAAATTAGTAGGGTGTGGTGGTGTGCACCTGTAATCCCAGCTACTCAGGAGCCTGAGGCAGGAGAATCACTTGAACCTGGAAGGTGGAGGTTGCAGCAAGCTGGGATTGTGCCATTACACTCCAGCTTGGGCAACAAGGGTGCAACTCCAACTCTCTCTCTCTCACACACACACACACACACAGAAAAGAAAAAGAAAGAAAATCGGTGCTGCCCCTCTCACAAGGAGGCTGATGAGATTCCCATTACACTTTCTCTGTCTATGAGAATCTACTGTCTGGCTCAGCCTCTGACTCTCCTCGGAGCAGCCATCAGCACTTGTGACTCCTCACTCGGGTCCTAATGGAAAAGTCGCCTTGAGATGCTGGGCTTGGGGCTTCTACCCAGGAGAGATTATGCTGATGTGACTGTGGCAAGGGGAGGACCAGATCCCAAAATGCATAGCATGGGGGCCCCAGGCCTGGGGGATGGGACCTTCTAGAAGTGGGTGGCTATGGTGGTGCCTTCTGGAGAGAAGCAGGTATCCCCGTGCTGTGTGGAGCATGAGGGGCTGCTCAGGCTCCTTAAACTGAGGTAGGTAAAGAGGGAGTGTGGTGGAAACCTCTTCACAGAACTGGCATAGTGAAGGCTGCTCTGGGCCCTGTGGCAGGGTCAGGATTTTGACCTGGAAGCCCAGGCCCCTTTCATTCCCTTCTCAGAAACACCTTCCAAGCTCATCCTAACCATCATGGGAACAATTGCTGGCTTCCTGCTGCTTCCTGCTCCAGTCTTTGGAGATGGGATATGCAAGAAGTTCTCATGTATGCAAGAGGCTGGAGAGATGGCTTTGCCCTTTCTCACCTGTTGGGATCCCACTGTGAGTGGGAGACTTGCTTATTCACTTCTCCCTGCTCCTGCTAGAGCTGGGGATGGTGAAGCCACTAAGCCACATGCCCTGAGAGGGAACCAGGCAGACTGACAAGGAGGGCACTGCCTGTCAAGTGGCCAATGGTCCCAATCAGAGAAGGTGAAGGGTGAGAGAGGAGGCTGCTGGGAACCAGAAGCTTGGTTCTGGAAGGCTGAGAAAGTGCAGGCTGACAGTAGAGGCTAAGGGCTGGAGACCCTGGGGTCAGCTGTGCTGTTCCCTCTGAGCCCCAGGGTGCAGGGGAGGGTCCTTTACACAAGGGAGCTTCAGGTCTCATGGCCATTTCTGGGCTCTGTACTCCGCTGATCCCCCATGAGGATTCTAAACATTGAGATCAGGTACCCAGGACCCCTGGAATCTGATTCTCATATAACCTGAATTATCTTTAATAAAAATATTCTTCTATTTTGTTTATTTCCTACAAGATATAAAATATTACCAAACTGTTGTACATTATGAGCTAATATGTAGGTACCAGGCATATGTGGACAGATCCTCCTAGTTATTTATATTGGAGGAAGGTGGGGGTCCAGCCCCATTCACAGATGTGAACAGCAGGATAGCAATGTCAGGACCACGATACTGGGTGGCCCTAACCCTGAAGGAAAGACCTTCACTGCAAACAGACATTCAGGACGCAGATTTCAGGGTCCTCCGCTTTCTTTTCTTCCTGTTCTGAATTTAACAGTTTAATTTCCTAATCTCAGCTGGTAGCAATATAAATGAGGTATTCATGACACTTGGGCCCCCCTCTACCATGGCACCTAACAGGGTCTTCTCTCCTCATAAGAATGTCAGGAGGGTCTACTCTATAAAAACCAACAAGGAAGGGGTGGCAGGAGAAGCTCATCTTGAACCCCTGGAATAGAGAGCGTGGAGCCATGGTCCTGTTCCTCACCCATCCCACGGTCCTGCCTCAAATACAGTCTCCTTCTGCAGGCTCTGCTGGGTCCTCTTTATTTTCATTCTCCAGGTGGTGACAGGGTCCCTGATGCTGATGTGGTGTTCACAGCTTCCTGAAATATAATCTTTGGGGCCCATTGCCAACAGGAGCTGAGGCTGGGGAGCAGCTTAGGGTTGTGGGGGATCCCTGGATTTGAAGGTAGGGGATGGCGATGGCCTGCCCATAATGCTCAGGGTGTCGAGGCTGAGAGTGGCTAAGCTGAATCTGGTCATTACCATGTTCTCCACAGTTTGGAGCTGCCTTGTGCAGACCAGCAAGACACAGATTGTTCTCAGCTCCCTTGTCTCTGAATCCTGACTTCTCTTCCCCCAGCTGTGTAGCTGATGAACTGTGCCTCCTCCCAAGCATAGCACAGGGGGGATGTAGGGAGAGGGACCCATTCCTCTGATGCCCCAGAACCCCTTCCACAGAGTCCCAATATCCAGGCCTGGGGTCCCCTTCCCTGGATCAACCTTCCTTTTCTGGAATGAAAGGGTTACAGTGTTTCCCTCCCAGATCTCCCCTGTGACTCACTCACTCTAAATAGATGTCTTGCTCTGGGTTATTATTCTCACATCCCTTCTTTGAAGCTGTGCTAAGATGTTACAAACTATTAAGAGAACATGGAGGCCGGGTGTAGTGGCTTATGCCGGTAATCCCAACACTTTGGGAGACTGAGGTGGGTGAATCACCTGAGGTCAGGAGTTTGAGTCCAGCCTGGCTAACATGGCAAAAACCTCTCCCTAAAAAATACAAAAATTAGCTGATTGTGGTGGCAGGCACCTGTGATCCCATCTATTCAGTAGACCGAGGTGAGAGAATCACTTGAACCTGGGAGGTGCAGGTTGCAGTGAGCCGAGAGTGCACCATTGCACTCCAGTCTGGGTAACGAAAGCAAAATTCTGTCTCAAAAAAAAAAAAGGAGGATAGGTTCCCTTTTTTGGATTATAAGGATTTTCTGTGCTGAGGCGGGGCCAGGTGGGGAGAGAAGGGCGGGTGGAGGGGCAGGTGCTGGGTGGTGCGCGGCCTCGCTCTCTGCTCCACAAAGTTCCTGCTGAGGTCATTCCTCGTCTATTTGTCTGGATCCCTCCCTGTGCTGTGATTTGTGCCTGGTCTTTAGGGGCGGGTGCTGCTCCAGGTTGGAGGCCTCACACATCTCCAGGGTGAGCCTTTCTCCAAGTCCATGGAGGTCAAGGGCAGGTCCTGGCAGCTCTCCATCCTGCCCTCAGCTGCACTTTGTATGTGTCTGTATTTTCACACATTGACCTCGTCCCTCTGATCAGAGATTTCCAGGAATAGCATCCTGTAGGGGAGCCATCATCATCACGCTCTGGCCAGGCTCTGTCTCTCACTCTTGGGTCGTGAGTTCTGTTTCTTGTCTTCTAAAGACTCGGGGCAGCCTCTGCACTTGGGGCTTCTCAGACACCCCAAATTGATTGTTTCCACCTTTGCCTTCCTTCCTGCTCTGTTTCCAGAACATCTTATTTTCCCTTTTTATTGTAGTAAGTCAATTTTTTAAATTAACACTGTGAATAGATGTGTTAATGCAGTGTCTTGGGTGCACCATGTGGTTAGTCAGGGACCTGGTAGAAAAGAAATGATACCTTTTTCTTCCTTTTATTTATTTATTTTTTTGAGATGGCGTTCCATTCTTGCTGCTCAGGATGGAGTGCAATGGGGCAATCTCAGCTCACTGCACCCTCTGCCTCCTGGGTTCAAGTGATTCTCCTGCCTCAGCCTCCTCAGTAGCTGAAATCACAGGCATGCGCCATGATGCCTGGCTAATTTCGTATATTTAGTAGTGATGGGGTTTCTCCATGTTGGTCAGGCTGGTCTCAAACTCCTGACTTCAGGTGATCCACCCACCTCAGCCTCCCAAAGTGATGGGATTACAGGCATGAGCCACTGCTCCTGGCCTGAGATTGTACCTTTTACACAGATGTCAGCAAGGCTAAGAAAGCGGCCGGGAGCGGTGGCTCACGCCTGTAATCCCAGCACTTTGGGAGGCTGAGGCGGGTGGATTACAAGGTCAAGAGATTGAGACCATCCTGGTCAACATGGTGAAACCTCGTCTCTACTAAAAATACAAAAAAAATTAGTTGGGCATGGTGGCGTGTGCCTGTAAACCCAGCTACTCAGGAGGCTGAGGCAGGAGAATTGCCTGAACCCAGGAGGCGGAGGTTGCGGTGAGCCGAGATCGCGCCATTGCACTCCAGCCTGGGTAACAAGAGCGAAACTCTGTCTCAAAAAAAAAAAAAAGAAAGCAACAAGGGGCACTGAAGCTCCCTGGGATGATAAAAGAGCAAGGAAAGGAGCAGTTTCCAGAACTCAAGGAAATCTATAGCTTTCAGTAGGGGCAGCCCTGCATGCCAGTGGCTGTAGGTAGAGGCTGAAGTGATTGCAGAACCACAGAGCTGCCCAGAGGGAGTGAGGGAAATGAAACCCTGAGTTACTTCTCCTCCCACACTCCCATCTCCTGCAGGTGCTTGTTATCATCCAAACCCAAGCAGAAGCCAGATGGTGAAGGGGCACAGGCTGTACCTGTCATGGTCAGCCTCCTAGTGCAGGGGGCAGGGTGGAGGAGGCTCTGTGGGGAGATAGCATCAGACAGCAATGCACCCACCTGCTTACAGTGTTCACAATGTTCAGGGAATTCACTTAAATATCCTAGAGTTTCCCTAACCCAAAAGCATGACTTTTTAAAAAATAAATGTTATTTATTTATTCATTCAAGTTCCCTTGTATGAAATCAGTGCTGAAGCATTGTTAGAAGGGAAACACAAGACTCAATAAGGCCACCACCTCAATAATACCCAACAAAATATGATGCAATGCTTCTAATCCCAGCTACTCGGGAGGCTGAGGCAGGAGAATTGCTTGAATTTGGGAGGCAGAGATTGCAGTTAGCTGAGATTGTACCATTGCACTCTACCCTGAGTGACAGAACAAGACTCCATCTCAAAATAATACTAATAACAATGACGGGAGCTGTACACATTAGGCCTTCAGGTGGACAGTGACATTAGTAAGGCACTTAGTGGTACCATCAATGGCCAGGGAACAGACCATGTTGATGCCATGCCCTTCAGCTACATAGAACTTTGCTGTGCATTTTCTTCTTAAAATCACAGCATTAGGCCACTACATTAACAAGTTCTTCAAACAGAAATTCATTTATTCTTTGTGATAAGATTTGGGTAAGGGTGAAAAGAGTATTAAGTAACACTGATTGCAGATTCTTTATGACTTTTAGCCAGAACTACGAAAGAAAGTATACAGAGGCTGGGTGTGGTGGCTCACGCCTGTAATCCCAGCACTTTGGGAGGCCAAGATGGGCAGATCACGAGGTCAGGAGATAGAGACCAACCAGGCCAATATAGTAAAACCCCATCTCTACTAAAAATACAAAAATTAGCTGGGCGCAGTGGTGTATGCCTGTAATGCCAGCTACTTGGGAGGTTGAGGCAGGAGAATCACTTGAACACGGGAGGCGAAGGTTGCAGTGAGCCAAGATATCAATATTGCACTCCAGCCTGGGCAACAAGAATAAAACTCCATCTCAAAAAAAAAAAAAAAACTCTAAGCATTCAATAAAAACCACTTCTCCCTGCCCAATGCCATCCATGGAAATACTTCTACTGCAGAAGAGATGCCATCTTCCATTTACATGTCTGTAAAAGCTAATGCATGCCTCCGCTGCAGTAGACAGAAGAGAGCTAAGCAGCCCCTTCCACACAGTGCCTCTGGTGGAGAATGTTGGTGTGGCCACAGTGCTCCCTGTCCTCTGCTGTGCACTTTACTGCTCTGTGGAGAGGGGTGAGGACCTCAATGGAGACAGGAGAAATCCTATTTTGTTCAGACGATGTGGCTCTCTTTGGGTTTGTCCAGCAAATCCAAGCTGTGTCTGTGGGTCTGTACGCTGTGTGCATCTTCAGCAGGAACCCCCGTGAAGTGCTTCAGTGCTGAGCTCCCAGTCTCCCTTGTAACCATGGCAAATGGAACCATCCACTTGACACAGTTCTCTCTGTCACACCACGAATGCTCTTAAACCTTTTGTGTCAATTCAAGGGAAAAGAATTACAAGGCAGAAGCAGTGAGTACATCCTAGGAAAATTCTAAGCAGTCAGCATCCAGCACACGGAGATCTGAAAGCTCCGCAATCTGTAAACATTTGCTGGGGAGGCCGTGGCAACAGCACTTTGTATGAGCCATTTAGAGACGCCACCTGCATGTATACATTCAGCCAGGACACAGTGGCCAGGGGACTTAAGCACCACTCAGGGGCCTTTATACTTACTCATTCCACAGTAAGAATTTTATGTCCTGAACAAGCCCCAAAGCTGCACACTGTGCAACTGTGAAGAACAGATTTCCTCAGGTTTGGCTGCAGTAGATAAAGATAAAATCCCAATCATCTGTAAAAGTGATTTTACAACATTCTGTGCTGTCACGTGTTGATCAAAGCAATCCTGTGCCAAGTAAACTATCTCCCTGTGAAGTCTGCAGACCTCATGCGCCTCCCTCAGCCAATCCAGAAGAGGCTGCAGAAGAGGGTGCCACGGCATAGAAGGCTTATCCCATAAGTATGACTTTTGCTGGTTCAATATGACTTTCCAGACTCTTCTGTTTGCCCATGTCTGTATAGGCAGTGGTGAGGCTCTGGATCACAGGAAATGCTGAGACATATGCATAGAATTCAGGTAGGCCAGCTCATCCTCTTTGTCAGATGTGGGGATCAAGCAGCAGGGTTTATACAGACTGTATTACTGTCCCAAGGCTGAATGCCACCCTGGCCTCCCACAGCCCTGTCAATATTGGCAATTTTTCCACTGGACTCTGAACAAAAAGCCACAATTTCCTTCTTTTTTCAGGAACAAACAGAGAAATCAGTGCCACTTCCCTCTTTCCTGCTGCCCTGTTCCTTCGCAACCTCCCCTACTCTCCCTGGACATAATGCAGGGCTCAGGCACCCAACTTAAGCCTGAAGCTGTCTCCAGGGCAGGCGGGCATGGACCTGTCAAGACAGGAGGCAGGAGGTGAGCAGGAGGAGGCATGCCTTTAAAAAACAACATCTCACTTAAAATTGCTTAGCAGGTACAAAAATGCGATGGTATCTAACTCTCCCTCCCTTTCCCCACAGGGACCATACAAATTGTAAATGAATTGCTTGAGTTATTTGAGTGCAAGCCCTAACAGTGAAGTCTGGCTTACACAGGCACAGGGAATTTCCACGGAGCTAGAGCTGCGGCTCATGGAATCACAGACGCTGCCAAAGTAATGAAAATGGTGAGTCACTTCCTCTGTAAAGGGAGAGAGGTTGACGGCGGTGCCTCTCGACCCAGACTGGGAACCTGACATGCTGGAGTGTGGGAGGCTTCTTGTAGCCATGGTTCTAATTTCCCTGCGGTGGCCGGGCTCTGTGGGCAGTGGGCCGGGTGTGTCTCAGGAGGGAACGAGGATGCCCAAGCAAGTGCCTGGTGATGCTTTTCCCCTCCGATCCCTTCTCAGCACACACAGGCACACAGGCAAGGCTGACCACAGAAGAAGCTGCATGGACACCTGAGGACTCCACAGAGGAGCAGCTTTCCTCCAGGTGCTCTGAAGTGGTGATGTCAGAATGGAGGGGACCTGCTGACACTGGCTCTGCCAGACCTCTGTGCTCCCCTCCCCAGCCCCCACGTTCCAGGACTCTTGGCACAAGAAAATGGATCAGACAAGAAGGACCAGGTTGGTGGGAATATCCCTGCCAATTGGCAACTCAAGCCTCACCCAGACCTCACCTCCTCACCCCACACTCCTCAGACCCTGTTCCTCCAAGCCAAAGTCAGACATGCAAGGGAAATGCCGGGCACAGATGACAGGCTGCATAATTGCTGGAGAAGGTCCCCAAGTCTAGGACCAGACACCTGTCTCACCCTCTCAGGTGACCTTAGTCATCATCCTGCAGGCACTTACACTCCTTCTCAGCACTAGCACTTTCTGTAGATAGTCAAGTTCCTCTTTCTTCTCAGGGTTCACCATGAGCACTGGGGTGACCAAACACACTGTGCAAAGGGCAGGGAGACTCTTCAATGACAGCTTATGAATCTGTCCCTTCGCCACCGCCAATGCTGGGAAATGGCACCTCAATCCACAATTTCTTCCTGCCCTACCTCCTCACACCCATCTGGAATTTAGGGGAATGGGGAGGGCAGCCAGCGGTGATGGCAGCAGCTGAGGCCTAAGGAAAACTGAACGGGAAGCCAAGGAACCAGCTCAGGTGACTATAATTGTTTGCTGTTCTGCACGTGTGTCCAAGAATGACCACAAAGGATTTTCAATGAGCAATTCTAAGGTTACCATCCTATTTGGCCACATCACAGACATCAAGTGGATCAACACTGCCTTTATCTATGACATGAGTGAGAATTCCGACCCCTACCTGCATCAGGTTAGCCCCACACCCTGAAGGACCCCCACTCTCCTGTTATTTTTTGCATCTTATTTACCTTATATCCTCATCCCTTCCTCTGGGTGTCTTTGCCCTGGGGGTCTTCTGCTTCTACTCTCTGTCTCCTTTCAGGTGGCCAGAGCAGGCTGGTTTGGTCAGGGCTTGGCCATCACATTCGAGTCACATGAGAATGATGCCAGGATCCTCAGTGATGGGCAGCATCGCTTTGAGGTGAGTGTTAGGAGCTGTCTGATGAGACAGACGTCTCCTCCACAGTGAGTGCTGAGCTCGTGAAACTTTTGGATCCTCCCTGTTTGTTAGTATGTTTCTTCTGAAGCCTGTCGTGTAGGTCATGGGCACCTGATACATAATGGACGTGTTACCGGTTCATGCCCCTGGCCTTTGATGCTGTGTTGGGCTGTTTTCCTGGCCTCCGTGTGGGGTCTCTGTCTTCTCGCATCATATTACATGTCCTTCCTCAGCCCCAAGTCTGTCCTCTGAACCCACACAGTACACCAGCATCTGCATGTGTGCCATGGGTTCCTGCCTCACTTTCCCCTTTTCATGCCTTATTCTGAACATGCCATATTTTCTCTTCAATTGAACAGATGCAGTAGATGACTCACCAATTCTGGAATGTGACCATCTATCCTTCAGGAGAGGACATGAGTGTGGGGGTGAAGGAGACACCATTGCTCACACCCCCAACAGCCCCCACCCCATGGCTTCCTTCCTCTGCATCAGCACCACCCCTGAACTCTTATTCTTGATTGTCATAATTTTTAACATCTTAACTAGAAATGAAAGACATGTGTTTCTGTGGTATCTGTAAGTGCTACATCTTCTTACTGTGTTTGGGGAGGTTATTTTAGGACACGATCCAGGGTAAATTCCTGCAAGGCTGAGGTGCACTGCGGTGAGGTCAAGGAAAGATGACTGAGACTGCAGAACCCTGGCTCCTCCACTACCTTCTTGTATTAGCCAGAGTCCTCTAGAGAGACAGAACTAATAGGATATATATATGGGGATTTATTAAGTAGTATTAACTCACACGATCACAAGGTCCCACAACAGGTCATCTGCAAGCTGAGGAGCAGGGAAGCCAGTCTGAGTCCCAAAGCTGATGGGGACTCAGTTTGATGTTTGAGAGCAGGAAGCATCCAGCATGGGAGGAAGATATAGGCTGGGAGGCTAAGCCAGTCTAGGCTTTACACATTTTTCTGCCTGCTTTATATTCTGGCCATGCTGGCAGCTGATGAGATGCCACCCACCCAGATTGAGGGTGGCTCTGCCTTTCCCAGTCCACTGACTCAAATGTTAATCTCTTTTGGCACCACCCTCCCAGACACACCCAGGATCAATACTTTGCATCCTTCAATCCAACCAAGTTGACACAGTATTACCACCACACAGCCAACTTCTGGCCTTTTGTGGTCTCTTCCATTTTCCCAGTGGCCTGGGAGCAGCTGGGATATTTCTGATCCTGGGGCTCCTAGGTAGTGATGCACAGTATTTCCAGTGCTGAGGGGTGCCATGGACACTGAAGCTTGGGTGTCTCCTCACAGGCTCTCTTGGTGCCTCCTTATTTGTTCCTTCAGGTTCTGGATCTTGACCACTAGGACCTGGGCCCCCACCCCCTCCAGCAGGGCCTGATCCACTCCAGCTGCTGCTCCAGCAACTCTCTGGCTTGGGCCACCTCAGCCGTGTGGTGGGACCAGGGGCTTGGTGAGGGGAGTTGGGAGGGGAGCTCCAGCCAGGGCGCTGAGACCCTGGGAAGCTGTGCTGCAGGGTCTGGCTGTAAGAAATTTGACCTCTGTTTCTCTTTTTCTAGCCCATTAGTTTCAGTCCACCTGTACCAAGAAGCCCAGGGGGCTCTCTGTCTTAGGTATAGGCCTCTGGGAGGCAGGTAGAGATCCCTGACCCAGGAGCTATACTGGAAACCCCACAGCTGCAGAAAGTCAAGTCGCACCTCTAAAACCCCCAGCTGGTTAAAAAAGACAAAGAATTTGACTACCCAAGAGGTTTCATTTACATAACAAGACCACCTTCTCAGCCTCCCTCTGTGTGCTTTTAATTTAAAGATTTCAGAGATCTCTTCTTCTAAACAATTAATGAAAACATCAGGTTTTAAGAGGACACATAGTAGTGTCATGGCTAGCCTTAACAGATTCCCTTGACTAAATTAAGAGCAAAAAAATCTGACTTCAAACACTCTGGTAGTTAAAATTATACACTCATCAGCCTAGCACGGTGGCTCATACCAGTAATCCCAGCACTTTGGGAGGCTGAGGTGGGCAGATCATGAGGTTGAGAGATTGAGACCATCCTGGCCAACATGGTGAAACCCTGAGTCTACTAAAAATACAAAAATTAGCCAAGTGTGATGGTGAGAGCCTGTAGTCCCAGTTACTTGGAGGCTGAAGCAAGACAATTGCTTGAACCTGGGAGGTGGAGGTTGCCGTAAGCAGCCTGGGCAACAGAACAAGACACTGTCTCAAAAAAAAAAAAAAAAAAAAAAAAAAAGATTAAACACTTCTGCTATGGCTCAGGTTTGCTACCTCATCAGGGAACAACAAAGGCCACCCACTTGTGGCCTAAGAGTCATAACTTTGGTTAAGGCACTTGGGAGGATACCTTTTGGTAAAGAAGGTGAAAAGCCAGGAATATCAACTGCTCCTCCTGGCTAACATCTGGTGATAAGGGATCTGAAAGGACTTTTTAGAGCTCTTATAGTCAAAATTTGACTTCATTACAACTGATATTTTAGACTTTAGTGTGTATATATCGTTTTAAGGTTTCTGTTCTCTCTGTGTAAACATTTCTCAGTCAGCTGACTGCCTCTCTTAAACCTCCTGCTAGTCACATGCACTCCCTCTGTTTCCCTATCTCTCTATTTATTTCCTTTTTATTTTTATTTTTTGAGATGGAATCTCACTTTGTCACCTGGGCTGGAAGCTGGAGTGCAATGGTGTGGTTTTGGTTCTCTGCAAACTCTGCCTCCAGGGTTCAGGTGATACTCCCACCTCAGCCTCCTGAGTAGCTGGGATTACAGGTGCATACCACCACACCTGGCTAGTTTTTGCATTTTTAGTAGAGACGGGTTTTACTATATTGGCCACACTGGTCTTAAACTCCTGACCTCATGATCTGCCTGCCTTGGCCTCCCAAAGTGCTGGGATTACAGGTGTGAGCCACTGTGCCCGGCGGACATGGAATTTTTCAAGATTACGAATAATATGGGTTTTCTAAAAATTGAATGAATGAATTGAAAATTGTTAAGCATAAATGATAAAGGGGTATTTCCAAGCCACTTTGGGTCCCATGGTTGCCACTCAAAAGTGGAGCTGTCCCCATTTCTTTTCAGTTTTACTCAGATCAAAGCTTGTGGTTCCAATTTAATATAGAATCACAAAATGCATTTAAGTTTCTTGAGATGCCGAGGGAGCAAGCATTCCCTTAATTTTCTAGAAATTATGAGAAATAATTCTTTTGTAATCATTACTAAAGTAAAAAGGGATTTTTACCCAGGGCTTTGCAAATATGATGTGTTTTCTTCCTGCTTTTAAGGGTCATGTTTCTGAAAATCTCAACCTAGTGACATCACTTTCATGTTTCTCTCTGCATTTACTCCTTGGTACTGGAGAGACCCTCAATGCATCTCAGTAAGGATGAGATGTGTTCTCATGTATTCTCACTAGAATGGATGTGTTTATCCATGACTCACAGAATCTAACCATATCCTGGCTACAAGATACTCACTTTGGATCTAGGAACATGTAGAAGTTGAAATTGGAAGGACAGAAAAGGATATTCATGAAAACAATAAGAATTTCTTATGTTCTTTCATAGGATTCTATGTGTTGGCTGAGCTCAGATGATAGCATGGGTGTTTTACATGGTTCAGGGCTTGAAGTGGAAGGAAACAGATGCAGGCAGGATGGTTAATAGCTGTGTGTGAAACTGACACAACCACACTTCTGCCATATTTTATTGGCTAACACAGATCTGGATCTGCTCATGTTTAAGGGGTGGAGAGACCTTACCTCTTGAGGAGGGAGTGGTGGGTCAGACTAAAGAAAACCACGTGTGATGGAAGATATTTTTGCAGCCCTCTTTGGAAAATACGTGCAATCCAAAACATCCTATCTGCCAGAAAGGCAGAACACCGTCATGCCTTACCACTCAAGTCTAAGTCCTGCAATTCTATATGTTGGAAACAATTGCTCAGAGTCACACAGAAAACAAGCACTTAAATGACAGATTGCTCAGCAAGGGAAATTTACTTCTGCAGAATGGTGACACTCACATTCTTGGCTGCTGCCAGAGCATACCAAGCAAAGGAGAGAAGGGGTTTTTATCCCTGTCACAGTCCCTACTCTATGTCCTTCCTCCATTGGCTGGGGTTGGAACACAATTGGCTATTGTTTAGCAATTTCCAAGTAAAGAAGGTGCGGGTCAGTTACAAATGTGTCTGTGGAGGGGCTCGGGGTGAGGGGTGGTGAGACATGTCTGGGCATGTCCAGGAACAGCAAAGGTGGGAAAGATTACTTGCAGAATCAGGAACAAGGAAGTAACTGGAGAGGCATATTTTTCTACAGATTGGGACTGGTGGGAAGAGTTGTTGACCAAGCAGTGACTAAGTAATTAGACGTGAGGAGGTATAAGGATAAGGAAGTTGCTTTGGAGAAGAAAGAACATCTCCTTTCCTCATCTTCTTCCCTCAACTCCTTTCAAAGAACAAAGAAGTAAAACTGTTTAAGAGGAACGGTTTGTTCCTAACATATAATATCCTGGGGAAGGAGCATGTCTTAGGAAGTAGGTGTGGAGTTGACATTCTAAATAAAGCCCCATTTAAAGCCACAATTTCAGTTTATTTTGATGAAATTTTGTGTTATTTTTGTAAATTAGGGGCTCACAAATCTCTCTTCAGGGATTTCTCCAGTGGTGGGGATGATACGCTTCCCTCCTCCACAGTTCTATTTTACAGATAAGTGGATCTAGGTCTCAGTTTCAATTATTTAAAACCCCAGAGACTTGGATGTGTGCAAGCCACAAAATGGTGAAAGGATGCTCTCTGTCACGTTCCCTTCTCTCAGTCACTGCATCCTGAACAAGAACCTGCTCTACTTTGACCTTCTGAATGGGGAGGAGAACTGCAATCCTGCATAACCTTCAAGCTTCCTGAGCTAAACCTGCTGCCCAAACAGAATGGTTTATTGTAAAGACTAAACCCTACACCAAGGGCTCTCCCTTCACCCACCAGAGTCAAGCCAAAGAGATTTATTCTATTTTGTTCTTTAGAAAATGGAATCTCAAGGATGATTCAGACTGTTATGGGCTAAACTGCATCCCCTCAAATGGACATGTTTATGTCCTAACTCCCAGTACCTGAGAAAGTGACTGCATTTGGAGAGGTCTTTAAGGAGGTCATTTAGGTAAGATAAGGTCATATGAGTGTGCTCTAATTCAATGTGACTGATGTCCTCATGAAAATAGAAGATTAGGACACAGACAGATACAGAGGAATGAGCATGTGAAGACTAGGGAGAAGACATCTACAAGCCAAGGAAAGAAGACACAGAAGAAATGGGCACTGCCATCACCATGATATTGGACTGCCAGCCTCCAGAACTGTGACACAACACATTTCCATTTTGAGAATGCCCCCCTCACCAAGGTATGAAGGTTCCACTTGACACATACAGGTATAAAAATTGCTAGGTCTGCGGAATAGTCACCAATCTTGAGTCCTGGATATTCAGAAATTCTCACCCAGTAACTACACCAAAGCCAGGTTTTATGTCAGAGTCCCTCAA